GGTTCAGTTGGTCAGAGTGTGGTGCTAATAACACTGAGCTTGTGGGTTCAATCCCTGTGTGGCTCATGCACTAAGGAGTTGGACTTAATGATCCTTGTGTGTCACTTCCAACTCAGAATATCCCGTGATTCTGTGAACTTGGTTAGATGGCATGGGAACATTCCACTATTTGTGCCTGATGACGGATCAAACACCCCTGAGAACAAACTACATTGCCAGACAGGAAGAGCACATTGAGTTCCACTCCTGTTTTTCCTTCTGGTACATATGCCTCAAATTTTAATATTCTGTCTATAACAGTTTTCCACATAGTAATTCTCCATTTCAAAGAAATTGGATAAACTCTTAATATAAAACCGTATCTGTAATCCCTGCTATTTGTGTCTGATGTCTGATCTCCTGCTGTTTTTTAATATTATAAGTCTAAAAAATTCACTTATTGTAATTTAAACAGAAAAATTACAGAGTCCTTACTTCAAGTAAGGAAAAAATCTTCAGCAGTCCATGCACTGGATATCTCAGCCTTCTTCATCTCTGAATTACACTAGTAAAAGCTCTTCCCCTTAAAATGAACCTGAGTAAATACGTTGGCCAACAGTCAGACCTACTGCCACATGTGAATTAAATGCAGAGCAGTCTGAGCAAGAGCAGCACTGATGTCAAAGCAGAACCACCCCTGAGAGAGAGGCTTTGAGGAGATCAGCTTAGAAAGTTTCCAGTAGAACACCATTCCAACAGAAAGTGCTGACTTGATGAAACCCAAAATATTCCACAGGAATGTGCTAATTCAATCAAAACTTTTGAAAGAGGACAGGCTGGCTCGCCAAGCCAGCCAACCAGTCTAGTGAGCTGACTGGCTCTCCCCAGCTCTCCAGGGTCACTGGCTTCCCCATCTGGCCAGGGGCCAGGATGCTCTCCCTGCCCTCTGAGGGGCCCTCTAATAATACTAAAAATAATGGAGTCTTATAAAGTGTGTGGAGAAACAAACAAAAGAATTTAAAAATGAAAACCAGAATTATTTCAGAACCAACTGCAGGGTTTCCTCAGAAGGAACTGGGTACGTTTATTGCAAAGCACCTAAAGTCACAAGTCTCTCCTGTGACTCCTCAATTTTTCATTAAACATCTTCCAGTGAAAAAAGCTGTATCAATATTGCAACAACACAGAATAACCTATAATTATATCCAAAATCTAAACTTCACCAGGCACCTGTAATCATCAGCAAGGAGTTTAAGGTAAGTTGCTTCCAAAGCACTGAGAGCAAATTCACATAAATGCCCATACCTGACCAAAACACAGGGCTTGCAGTGTAAGCAACACCTTTCACAGAGCAGTCCCTAAGTGGGCTCCCTGCTTGTCACCATGACAAATTTGAACAAGATGGTGCAAGGGGCCTCATTTTACACTCTGGAGTAGCTCAAAGGAATAGATATGGCTACACAATATTTTAGCAGTCTTTTTAAAAAAAAAAAAACCCTGTCAACTAGCAAGTAACCCACTTTCTTCAAAAACTGGCTTTTGGCAACCTACGGCTAACCAGTGCATGGGACCTACTTTGGCTCCTCAGCAAGTAACAGTATTTGCTAATTGCTAGGAAAGGTTTTCAAAGACAATGTCACCGAACACCATGATGCTTTTTACACAATACCGTTCATTTAACCAGCTTTTGTATAAAAATGCCTATATATTGGTTCATGTGTGAACACCACAAGTAGTTTAAGAAATGTGGAACAAAGTTCCACAGAAAAAAAGAAAGAGCTCTTTTTAAATGCCTAATTGAGTCAGCAATGAGATCTCTGTTGCAGGCAAGTCACATGATTTTAAAAGAATAAGGCTAATAAAGTGTACTGATATATTTATATGAAAATCAGCACAACTTCGAGCATAGAACTGAGACAATTTTGCGACCACTCTTTCAGAAAACACATGTAAATCAGACATCTGTCCGAGTTTGCAGTTCACTGACCCTTTCAACTGCCAAATGCAATGCACAAAGGTAGTTCAGAAAGCAATTAGAGATTGGCTGGGAGAACTCATTAATTTATTTAAACTTCAAATCACAGCTAAGCAGTCTTGCAACATTTTTCTGGGGGAGACTGTATGCCTCAGACTCATATTTAAAAAGAAAGGTTTGTCTTCTCAGAATGACAAAATACATACAATTTTCTCCCTAGTGTTTCTTAAGAAAGAACAACTGATATGTTCACAGTACCATGAGGAAACATACCTAGAGCAGAACTAGACATAAGCATAGTTCAATCCAACTGCTCAATCTCTAAATATTTCTGCACCTGCAAAGTCTAAGGCTCCCTTCAACTACTTGCAATACAAAACTCAGAGATAAAAAAAGGTGAGGAGAAAAAAAGGAAGAAAAGAAATTTTTCCTTCTAGTGGTAATAGGACTGAGAAGTATCAGTGATCAACAAAAGCAAATGATGCCTGGTTGGCTCTATTATAGCATATATGGCATAAGGCCAAGATAACAATGAGAAAGTAAAGCATAAAGAAGTGCCTTCCATTTTAGAAGCAGGTATCAAAAGTTGACAGCAGCATCTTCTCTCAAACAAAACTTGGGATGCCCTTGGCCTATGGCAAAAAGGCAGAGTCATCACTGATCTCCTGATGACAAACAGCAAAACAGGCAAAAAAAAATGTATGCATATTGACATTCATATGCAAGTCTGGGCCTGAAATCATGGCAGCAGTAAGTTATCAATCTGCTAGTTAATTTTCTTTCATTAGCCTCATTAAAGGGACCACGACTGTAACACAAAGTAACAACTGAGCACTGCACAACTCAGAAGCCATATCCTCAATTTCTTCATGCTGCAGTGATTTAAATAGCCAACCACAGGCTATAATTTAAGATTTAGTCCGTCACTCCAGGAGCTAACCAACTGGAGCCACAAGGATCAATGCACACTTCTCTGAAGTGCTTATGAAAATAAGACCATACCTCTAAGTAACTCTCTCAAACCAGCCTACCTAATTTGATAATTTCCTTATTTCACACTTACATAAGCATTTCCTAGAATCAGTTTCTGAGGCTCACTGTGCAGCAGACAGACTCCCAAACCGAGAGAGGACATGCTGCTGCTAATTCATACTGCATTGCCCACAATCACTTCTGTCATGCTGCAGATTATCCAGAGTGGTTTCAGCTGCCACTCACAGGTTTTACTTCTGCTTGTTTGTTGAACTGTGCAAAGGTAACAAGATGGCCCAAAGCAGCTCCAGCCAGCAGTGTGTAAGCTGAAACAATGCAAGAAGGAAAAAGCAGTCTGAATATGGCACCACTGTGATTCAAATATCATAAATGATACTGAGAGGCTACATCATGTAATTGCCATATCTTCGAACAAAAGTTAGCCAGCTGAATGCACTCATATGTACATGTAGGAAGCAGCAGGGGAAAAGGATTTCAGTCAGTCAAATTTGTGCACAGCCCATCAGATGGATTAGTGCCAGAGCTTGTTCTCTGCCAGTCTGCCTCCTCCTGCTCCACCCTAACTGATTCCAAGTGCATTTTCCTGACTGGGGTGACTAGCTTGCTTCTCTCCAACGTCTAACATTCCTCGGTACACAGCATCTTGGAAAATGCTCAGACCTGAATTTAAAAAGGAAAAATAAAGAGAAAAAAAGCCCTCTCTGTTAGATGAAGTCAAACTTCTCAAACATATGTATGGTAACACCAGGAAGAAAAAAGAAATATTTACTTTTCCCAAGTACTGTGCTTTCAAATGGATTTCACAACTCTAAGCATATGATTTCAAGTTATTTTTGCAATGAAGGGCCAGTAGTATTGGATAGCATTATGCTATCCAAAGAATAAGATGGGCCAACCATTCTTCAAGACTTTTAGTAAAATGTTTCAGTATAGAATACCCTAACAGCAAGGTGCCTGGAGGGTCAAAGAGCCCATGACACTGCAGGTTATTTATGCAGTAAGTAACTTACGTTGGAAGGGACCTGTGGTGGTCTTCTGGTCCAGCCCCTCACTCGAAACATGACGAAAACAGACTAAATTGCTCAAGGATGGAGCCCGCACAACCTCTTCAAGTGCCTTGACTGCCTCATTATGTGACATTTCTACTTAACAGTATCAGATTTTTCCCTGACATAACTTGTGAATACCAACTTTGAGCTTCTTGCTGTTCACCTCCAAAGAAAGTCCAGGCTCTCTCTTCTCTACAATTTCTAACTGCATTCTGTTCTGACATTTTATGACTGGTGGGCAATAATCTCATTAAAGATGCACTGTAAGATTTTTTTGCCAAACCAGGCACTAAAATTTCAGTAAGATTTTCTAATTCCTGTTTTCCTCAAGCCCTTTGGTGTGTTTGCCACAGAACTGAGTGTCAGCCTAAGCCACAGTGATGGAAAGGTTTGATGTCAGTGGCAAAAGTCCTGTTTACCTTGCATTAAAGCTTGCCTAGAAGGAGAACTTAGCAGTAGGGGAAAAAAACAACACTACTACAGGTGATTCATTTGATATTGGCCAGTTTGATTAAAATAGCAAAAACATAACCAATCTTTATCAAGTATCACATATGGAATCAACTAAAGAAGTAGTTCTTTAACTCCTACCTGAAAGTGTAATTTTCTTGAATAATGTTCAAATGTCCAGCATGTCATTAACAATAAAGTCCTCAGGAGACTCAACCGACCCACCTCACTACTTCATGTCATTAGATGAAAGGATGTGTAAGCTACACATAACTCAACTTGACAATAAACACACACTGACCAGTGGTCAAAAAATGGAATAAACACATTCAAATAAGACTAATTTTATATTTGCAGGACACAGGGCAAATTATAGTGGCATGCAGTATATAAAGACCAAGTTCTTAGGAATTAATTTGAAAAAATAAACTACAAGCAAAACTAATACATAATTTGAGTCTACCAAACTCGTTACCAGAATGTCTTAAGTAAAGCGTTATTATCACATTGATGTTTAAAATCAATAAATAATTACCAGCTTACTTATTTCTTACCATTGTAGGTTATCCTTGGTTTTGTCAAACACATTACAAGATGTAAATCCATTTCGTCAGAGGATACAAATTTTGAACATACAGGGCACTTGAATCCTATGGAAAATAAAAATATGTAAGTGTGAGCATAATCAACCATGTAGCAAATATATATATTCAAACCAAAAAGCTATTCTACACACACAAAAAGAAAGAAAAAAGAAATCCTGGAGGCTTTTCAGTTTTGACCTGACATTTCTTACATAAATAAGATTTCAAAAGATCCCAAAATGGACTACTGTTTCTGGAAATCATTCTGCTGACAATTGCAAACATTTTCAGCACCTCTGTAACACAAATTTTCTCAACAACTTAAGGACAGTTTAGGGCAGGAGCAAGAGGATCATATGACTACCAAAACAGAAATTACAAATGTATATAGGACATAGCCATTAAAATTTGAACTTGGGCAGGCATCCTGAATTAACATGTTCATTTTTACCAGGAGTTGCACTAAAACTTTAACCAAGGATCTTGGTTTCACATCTCATCATACAAGCTGCAGCATCCTTTATCAGTCTGGGGCACTGGAAAAATATTAACTCAGGGGTGTTGCCTCACCTACTGAATCACTAATACTTCCTGTAGCACTGAATTTGTTTGACTGCTCTCATCCTAGCCAAGCATGACCTTGTTTAGCTTTTGAGGTCACTGCTTCAGGCAACATGGGGTAAAGAATCATTAAGACAGTCTGGACTGTGATGCAACTGCATAACAGTCTATGACAAAAGTGCTTAATACCTTAATTTATGTCATTGCCAAAGACAGCAGTTTTCCAGTTAAAGGACAAGATCGGCTGGACAACTTTCATAGTCCACAGAAGAGCCTGACTGATTTTGATCTGCTGAATAATTAACATACAAGTGAAAGACAAAAAACCACCAAGAGGGATCTCAATGCATAGTAGTTGTTAAGGAGTACACCTACAGGCAGATTGTCCAATAGGACAACGTGTGGCAAAAATACCTAATCTACATCCACTCTCAGCACAAAGGCACAGCTTGGATGCTGTGAAGAATGATGATGCAGGCCTGTATAAAAGGTCACTGCACCTTCCACCAGCATGCCCATCTGGGCCTGTTGTGACATGTTTTAGTTTGTTGCCTCTTGCTTTTGTACTTCTAACCTTGGGAGTCCACAATAAACCGAGTCAGTCAAGGATGACAAGCAACTTGATGCTGCACTTTCAAATAACTGATGCCTGAGAATTTTCATCTTTACTGTTAATTATTACCCAGATGTAGATCAAGCAACTAACCTTAAGCATTAGCACTCGATACAGGTACTGCACTTCCTTTTATCAAGAAATTTATGTCTTATGAGTGGCTCATAGGAAGCAAGTGAAAGAGGACAGCTAGTAACAACCGTAAGGAACTCAGGGCTGCAGCTGAACATGTGCTGGAAACCACTTCCTGAGATAAAGTACAGTTCTGCTTCTTCCAATTTGAGTCATATCTATTTCTTCTTTGTGTCAATCTTACACTCCAGTTTAAACACTGCTCTTCTTGCCTTAATTTTATTCCTTCTCCCCCAACCCGTATTTTACAAACAACAGATCAATAAGCATAGAACAGCCAAACATGTCTTTTGGAAAAAACTAGTTGAAAACATTAATTTACTTGTTGAAAGCTTTATCAGTGATCTTTCACCCACTACGTAGCCTCCTTCACGCAGGCTACACCTCAACATGACTAAAATCGAAATTAGTATCTCAGTCCTCCAAACACCTAAACCCACCTATTAGTGTTCTGTTACCAGCTTCTTCAAAAACTGACCCAGGGTAAACTTTCTCTCAGTTTTTATCACCCTACTGCTGCTGATTACTAGATTTTGACTAGACTTAAGACCCATGCATTATATGCTTCTATAAGGCAAAATTGACAACATAGCTTGATGTGAAAAAGCCTCTAGCTTCCTTATGTGCTTCAGACCGAGTCCTGCTGTCACAGAAGGGAGTGTTTGCACTACAGCAAGTTAACTTTTATGTTCATGGTTAGTTAAGCATTGAGACAGTCATTAACAAGTTCCCTCTGCTTTCAGGACAGAATTCTTCTAGCTTATTTCCTAGAGTCATGAGCACATGTAATTGGGAGTGACAGAGGGCAGGGACAACCCTCAACAGGTCCTTAAAAACATTACTAAAGTTAACAGTGCTAAGAAAATACGTATCCCAGGAATTCTTGGACGAAATATTTTAATCCAAATTAAATATTGGGGAAGAGCTTGAGTGAATAATAATGATAACTTAATAATAATACTGCTTTTACTTAAAACCATGCTTGAAGATAGACACCTGTGAAAAATCTTTCAAGTTATCCACCTAGAGTACTCAGATGAATATGCTTTTACTAACATGCACTTGCCCTTAAACCTAGTAAATAATCTTTGTTCTAGCAATACAGTAAGTATTTTAACAGAACATTTTGTTGTGGCTTGTCCTGTGTCAGGGGATGTGCAGGTAATGGTTAAACAACTACAAACATCCTCCTGACACAGCAAGTCTAGAATACCTGACTGCTGTACCTGTACTCAGTGTGCAGAACTGAACAACCCAAAGAACAGAGGACATCACTTAACTAGGCTTTAAGGAGCAACTTAGTTGACAGAAGTAAAAGGTGTATTTGTGGAAAATACGTTTTTCCAGTAACCACAATCAGCTGTGGTTATGTCTCATGCCAGAGATCAGCATAATAGCAAAAAAGGTGCCTTGGGCTCACAACACTTGCTGAAACATTCTTTAAATACAAGTGAAATCTGATTTCTCATTCCTTCACAATGTTCCGCTGCAATCCAGATCCTGCATTTAGCCATCTTCCCCAAGAGATGCACAGTGTAAGTTGTGTGTGAAGGAAATTATCATTTCCAACTCCTTTTAGTAACCCCAAAGAACAATTATTTTGACTATAGACAGAATATTTGCTTTATTCAGACTGTATTTGAAAAATATAAATAAGCAAACAATCTACACTGTCCACAAGCCAGTTGAAGGTCCTTTAAAAAGCTCATCTTTTCCTACCTTTCCTCAAATCAGAAGGCAATAGTTTCATGACCCAGTTTACAATTAAGTACTGGGTAAGAACAAAGACTCTATTGTACCCCTGCCCAGCAGGCTAACAACATTTATAGCCTATGTTTGTTTTTACCATCTTCTCAAGGAACAATTCCAATAACTTCAGAAAGTTTCACATGACTTTAACAATCAGCAACGGGTCAGAAATAACTTGTTCTCTACATGACTTGTTTTACTGAGTTTTGTAGATAATTCACAGACATTTGGAAAAAAATGTGGAACGTTATCAGATGAGGTAGCATCACATGAATTGTGAGATCTATGAAACTCAATCAACTACTTTCTCACTCTCTTTACAAGGAGAGCACAACAGATAATACACATTCTAGGTAAAAATCCAGGTCTTAGGAAGATGTTGATTTCACAGCATCCCTTATTTTTGTCCCAGATTGCAACTATCACTTTTGTATTAGAGTTGTCACATCACTGCAAAGTTGTCCTTCCTTCTCCCATAGCAGAGAACTCAGCCTGTGACACCCTTAAATCAGCTGAAGGACTACCTCTCACCCCATTCCCAACACACAGTAGTACAGCACTGAAGAACTGAGCACCAAAAACTCAGCAAGCACACACCTCTAGCTAACTTTTACAACTGCAACCTTAGGAGGGCAGGGAGACGAATTCTTACACACTCCCACCATCTAGTTTCACAAGCCTGACTACAATACTGAAAGTAACACATTGCCTAAAATAAAACCAAAATTCTGGGGAAAAAATTACAATTACAAGAAACGGAACAGAACAGAAAGTTGCAGTACAGCTACTAGAAAATGCCAAGGTGACACAGAAAATCTGAAATAACTAAATCTGATAAAGTATCAGGACTTATATCAGAGGTGAATTCTGTCTCTCATTCTCTCTTGAATGTATCACTTTCCTCAAGCTCTACCATCTTCGGCAAATGAACCTCCAGTTAGTCAAGAAATCCCATCTTCTCTCACATCCATCTACCAAACTCAATTTTCATCTCTGGCAGATTTGGGAACTACCCACAGAGACAAGGTTGATGGGTGGCCACTTATGCTACTAGCACCAATTTCAACCTCTTAGTGATACCTTACTGTGTTTGTCTTGCTTTGCAAACATCAGACTGCTCAACTTGCACTTCAGTGCACAGCAGAGCAAACATTAAGCATCCAATGAAAAACAAACTCCTGGATTGCTAAGATTTTTACAAAATCATTATTCTACAATATCTACTTTGTAGTGCACAAAAAAAAAAAAAAAAGGAACACCTAAGAGCTTCCAAACAACACAGTGCATAGTGTCACAAAATTGCACATAAAAAAACCATGTTAGACTTGCACAGAAGAGTGGATGATCCTTTCTGTCAGTATTAAACAGTTGTAGCAAGAAGTAAGCACAAATAAAACCTGCACCAACACAAAAGATTGAATCAGCCTGATCAGAGTAACTTTTCAGCAGAAAAACATCAACTGGAACACTGCCAAAGCTAAACTAAAAGTAGAATGGGAGCAGCTGCTCTGTTAAAGTATGCAGCAAATTACTATTTTAAGTCTGTGTCCTTGTGTTTTCAATTAAGATGGATAAATCCACCTTGTTCTGCATTTAAAGAAGTCGTAAGAGAAATCCTTGCATCCACACACTTTTTCTAAGGTGTATTTGAAAATAAGAAGCCTGACAAACGTTACTTTCACAAAGGTGCTGTGGTACTTAGAAAAAGAAGCACAGACAATCTGGAAACACAGCATCCAGTAAATTTGATTGTATGAGGGTGGTATGTAAAATGACTATCACACAAAAAAACCCTGCAAAATGATGCTAAAAAGGAAATAATACAACACAAAAAGAAGAGTTGGCTACTTCTCATGTGTTCGGTAGACATGGAAAACAGTAACTCTGCTTGGTACAAAACACACGTAGACACTGGGAAGCATGCACTCTTTATCTTTTTCCCCTAGTCTGAAAAAAAAAAAAGCAACCCAGGTTACTTTAATCTTTCCTCACAGGCCCTGATGCCTAAACC